ATATATGTATATATATATATATAGAGAGAGAGATAACTATGTTTGTAAGTCTGAATTGCTCAACCCTTATTTTAGGAAAGATCCATATGGATCTCATCTCACCTCTATATCATTATTTACAATTGGTTTTAATATTAAATCAGTCCAGCGCCCTTTGTAATATGGATATTAAAAAAGGGCTTTGGGAGGAAAATAAGTGAGAGAGACAAATTAAGGGCACATAATACCCTTTCTTTTTGGCAGTTGGAAATATAATTCCATCTCTTCTTCTCCCATATGATGGTTGCTATCAATACTTCATTAACTTTGTATACTTCTGTACATTATTTGTATCTTCAAATTAGATACTATTCTTTTTTAAAATGTTCATGTGGTATCCGTTTCCTCTTTAAACCACATTAAACTTGTATTTGACTTATCATGACATATTATAACTTATCAATTATCATCTTGTGGGCATTGAACATCAGGGCATTCTCAAGCCACATTAAGTCCTAAATCTGGTTGCATTCCCTAGCAATATTTCACCTTCACACCTTGTAGAGGCCAGTAGTGGGTGAGTAATCACTCCAAAATGTCATAATTAAAGAGTGTCAAAAATAAAATCAATAATGTTCGGATATCTTCCTAATAATACTAATGAGTATAGTTTAAGGAGTATCTAATTTGAACCACAAGGAGTTGTCTAAGCTAAGGTGAGATTTTTTAACTTTTAATCAAGATTGATTTTTTTATGAAGAATGAGATGAGGAGATAGAAGAGAGTTGACTTAGGCACACTAAATGGGGAATAGATGAATCTTCTTTTGCTGATTTTTCAGTCACCAAGAGAAGAGAAATCAAGTGAGAAACAAATGTTGAAATATGGGATGATTGTGAATTTTTTAATCCTAATGTACGTAAAAGAAAAACTCTAATCTTCTTAGATCTTCTTATATCACCTAGGAGATCAACAAAAAGACTAATGTAGATTAACCTACTCCTAAACTACTTCCTAACCTCTCCTTGTCTCTCTCTACTTCCAATGAATGCTCAACTTTGATGAATAAAAAAGGAGAAACAACATAGAAGGAGAAGGATCAAAAGAAGGATTTAAAGTGTCCTAAATCTGCCCTATCTTGCTCACTCTTGGAAATATGAGCAATCTTGATAAATCAAGAGATCCATAAAAATCAAGAGAAGAAAGAGAAGAGTAGAAGGATTGGATTCTATCCTAAGATCAAGCTACTTTCATTCTAGGGATGAAAGAATTAAATCCCTACCTACTTGACGTGACTTAGTTGTTATATAGTAAATCACGTAAATTTAAAATTTATAAAACTAAAAAATACTAATTTTTAGATATTTAAAAGTATTTCTGAACAAATATATCAATTATAATTTAATAAAACTTCCAAAAAAGGTGATAATTTTCTAGGTCGATCAGCAAAATATAATATAATATCGAGTAATTTTTCAGAAATTTTCTCAAGAAATATAGTTTTCTATGAATTTTATACTAAGAAATAAAAAGAAAATATATTTAAAATTCACAAAAGAGAGAAATAGGGGTGCGGACGTCAGGATGATGTCAGTGCCTGATGAATGTGAATCGAGCAAAAATAGAGTTCTGCCTAGTGATTCTTACATAAGTGATTACACACGATTGAATTGATCAAATTAAGATATGTAAAAGCGAGAAGAATTTTAATTGAATGAAGTATAGCTTGGTAAATTTAAATCACACAAATTATTACTAAATGAATCAAAAATTAAGTTGAAAGTATGAAAATAGAGTTCCGATGTCGTGGTGGGAATGCGTCGGCGATGCACTAGAATCTTGAGCATTCTGGAGGATCATCGTGTAGTGTCCACGACCTTAAAGGCTCTGCTTGGACAACGATGATATAGGCAGTCTCTAGATCTCCTTACAAAGTTTAGAGATTAGTCAAATGGATTGTCAAATCATCTCTAGTAGATGTCACCTAGTCGAATTGAAAGACGGTGACTTTACGGCTCTTTGGTGATTGTCACCCAATGGAGAGGAGTTGAATAGAGGGTGGGGTGTGTGTCAAAGAGGTTCATCCTTAAGTTTGCGCGGCAAGATGAGGCTCTTCATCACATTCAATACGCTCTTAAGAGGTGGTGACTCGTCTCCCAACGAATCGTCCTCTTCGGGATGACAACTCGTTCGCCGATCAATCAAAGATGATTTACTCGATGGATTCACGATCCTTTTATTGTGAATCATTCAATAATTTTAGTAATAATATTTTGTGAATCACATTGATGAGATTTTCGTCGATGATCTATCGATTTTAGCGACTTAATCCTTCACCGGTGATCTGCAGGAAAGTCGCGATAATCAAATAAAAATATGAGTTTTGGCTCTAAGAGGATTCGAACCCACATTGATATCCCGCTGGCATGAGAGAGATTGAAATAAGTACTCTAATGCCTTTATCAAGTGACATCATTATGATATATCTCTATTATAATTAAAGGATAGTTTAGGTATTAAAATCTTCAAAGTCTTTCGAAAGAAAATGTGACGTGGGTTTAGTCTTATGTCGCTTGTGTACCAAAGTTTTGAACAGATATATAGTAATATCACATTTACAAGTAATTAGTCCATTTCTCTTGTATGTACGACTACTCCTTATTCCACAGCCGACTAGCCACTAGTGACGTGGAAGGGGAGTGGCGCACACGTGCCCCCATCAGTCTTTAACCGCTCGAGCCCTTACTCGTGGCTCCCCCCCCAACTACACTTCTAACTCACTTGCGAGCTCGGCTGGCTGGTAGGTCCCCCTCTTTTGCTATTTTCTTATTTTAATTTCTTTTTCTTCATTTATCTCAAAAATAAGACTATAAAAATCATATAAATTCCTTAAAAAATCATGTAATTAGCTAAAAAATCACATTAATCAATTGAAAACCACTTTTTATAATTTAACACAAATATAAGTCTATTTATCATGAGTTAAAGCTAAAACTATATTATTTACTAATTATTAATTGATGATAATGAAGACTTATCACTACTCTTTAACCAGATCACCTCTTTCTCACCAAGAGGGTCTCAAGAAGAAGAGAATTTAATAAGAAAATAAACTCATTCATTCAAAATAAATTTTAATTCACATAAGTAAATCACTAAATACATGAAAGATGTCTTTTGTATGTCATTTGGAATGCTCAAATAGACCTCTCCTTAGAGTTCTTGAATTGGATCAAGGAGTGAAGTTTTTGGAGATCTCCTCTTCTCCCTTTTGGGTGCGCATCTCCTATGAACAGAATGACTTCTCTCTCCTCTAGATGGCTACTTATTCTCCACTTTATTGTGCCCATTCTCAGCCCTTGGATCACGCAAGAGAGTGCACAGCCCTCGAATTAGTTTTCTCTCTCCAAGGGCAGCCTAAGGGAGGTGGGCAGCCGCTAGGATGTCTCCTCTCCTTCCCTCAGCCTAGGACTTATCTCAGCCCTTAGATTGGGCTGATTGAGGGGCTGAGATAGTCTCAAGGGTTGCCTAATGAGGGAGAGGGTGTGGCTGATCAGATGGTGTGACATACCCCTCCCTCTAATTAAGGAAAAAATGAACTGCCTACCTTTAGTGGGCAGTTTACTTAATTTGAGGGGAGGGAAAACGCCTCCTTCTTGTTTGGCCTCCTCCTTAACTAATGTGGGCTGTGTAGCTGGCCCATGGGCCTAATATGACCTGAAATATAATATTAAAATAAAGCCCATTACACTTTAAACAAATAAATATAATAAATTAGGCATAAGGGAGAAATCAGCATGGTAAATCTAAACTCATTTATACATGAGTTGACTTAGGGCTTAAGAGATACATAATAAATCATAAATATTCTATGAATTATATTTTATAATGTAAATAATCATGAGCCAAAGTACTGATATTAATTAGGATTTAATAGAAAATTCTGGAAAAATAGAAAAACCTTTAGAATATTCATTTAAACTTGAAATAAATCTTATAGTACTCAAAAAAATCCGAATTTTTTGTTAAATTTAGGAAAATACTTTTATCATATTAAATAATTATAAAATATTCAAATCATAATTTAAACATCAAATGACATTTTATTTATAATTATAGTTCAAGTGAAGTATATAAATAAACAAATATAGATCCTATAGAAAATATGGAAAATTCACGAAATTAAGCATGTATTGAGAACATTCATGATAAATTAAGCTCCATTTATTTTATGCATAATCAAATGTAATTTTGTATAAAATTAAGCATTAGTTGTCCAAATTATGTCATACTTAACATGTGGAATTCGCATGCTATCAGCGAGCAGGGGAGCACGTCTAGGTCCTCAAAGGCTAGGGGCCTGAGCCCTCTTGCATGGTGATGATATATTCCACCTCTTTTAAACTAGTGAGTCTGCAGCACTTTCACTTCGTACAACCGCCAGTGTGTAGATTGTGAACCGAGGACATTCGCAGCACTTTGACTTCATTAGCAAGCAATCGAGATTAATCCACAGCCATGGACAACGTGGTTCAGTACAATAATGGGGGAGAAAATATCCACATTCATTTATAGCAGCGTTCATGCATCTCGATTAGTACATTCCTCATTTCGAAATAATTTCACAGGCCATCATCATCCATCTTAGTTATTATTTTTTTTGAAATTAGTTTTCCCATCAACACGCCCTGGTAATTAGTTATGATGTGAATTAAATTATAGAGAGGGAATATATCTATATCTACATAGAGTCAAAGAGGTAAGAGCGGAAGACATAAATAGGAAGCGCGGTCGCTGGCTGAGATTAGGGTGGATTTTGTAACGCATCCAAGCAAGCGTATCTGATGAAACACGGCATGCAGTACGTGCCCCATAGGGCTTAGGATCTCTAAAGCAAAGTTATTTTATACCACTGATGAGTACGATTTCTCTCTCTCTCTCTCTCTCTCTCTCTCTCTCTCTCTTATAGCAAGGAATTCGTGCCCCATAGAGCTTAGGATTTCGTAGCGCAGCGGGCGGCGCTACTTACGGCGGGAGGAGATGCACGCACGAAGGGGGTTCCTCATGATCACCGTCAACTCGGGTGTCTCCGACAGGTCGACTTCCCCGCCGTCGGCCGCCTCCCATCGGAACTCTCCCACCAGGTTGGACACGAAGAACTTCAGATGGAACAGCGCGAAGCTCATCCCGGGGCAGATCCTCCGTCCCACGCCGAACGGCATCATCCGGATCTCCTTGCTGCCGGTGATGTCCACTCCCTCCCCTTCGCCGCCAGGGAGGAACCTCTCCGGCCGGAATTCCAGCGGATCCGGCCACTTTTCCCCGTCCAGGTTCATCTTTGCCACTGCGAAGTTGACGAGGGCATCCTTGGGGATGGTGTACCCACACACAGAGATCTCCTTCGTGATGGCATGGGGAAACACAAAGTGACCGGGCGAATGGCGGCGGAGCCCCTCCAGGACCACGGCCTTCAGGTACGGTTTCTTCTGGAGGTCCTCCTCCTTGATCTCCGTGCCGACTTCTTCCGCCAGTTTCTCCTGCACGTTAGGGTGCTTGACGACGTTCGCCATGATCCACTCCAGCGCCGTGGAGGTGGTGTCGGAGCCCGCAGCGAGGAACTCGGAGCAGAGAGTGATGATCTCGTCGTCGTTGAGCTTTCTTCCCTCCTCTTCCGGGATCTCGAGGTCCAGGAGGGAATCCAAGTAGCAGGAGCGGAAGCTGTTCTCCTCCGGAACGTTTGATTCCTTCTGTTGGCGCCGAGATCTGATCAGAGGAAGGAAGATCTCCCTCCGCCGCTGAAGTATCTGTAGGAGACACAGTTCCACCTCCGCGTGAATAAATACCTACTGATTTTTGGGGCGATTGCAAAAATATTGAGCTTCCGGAACAAGCGAAGTAAATCCTTCTGCGCAGCCTCGATGTCTCTGACGGCCGCCTCCTCGAGCTTCTCGCCAAAGCAAAGGAAGACAAGCAAAGAGACCATGGCGAATTGGAAGGTCTCTTTGACGACCACAACGCCATCCCCAGACGCCGCTGTGTGGCGTAGCTTGTCGAGGAGCACGTGCAGGACCGACTCACGAGCATCAGCGAATTGCCTGACACGCGAAGGGTTGAGCATCTCCGTCGCGAGGTTACGACGGAGAAGCCGCCATCGAGGGCCGTAACCGGCGGTACCGACACTGCACTGGTTGGAACTGAGGAATTGGAGGGAGGGAGGGGGGATAGGTCGATCGGCGAAGACGGCCCCGTGTTGGACGAGCATAATATGGGCGATATCCGGGTCGCCGACCATGACGATCGGGATGGAGCCGAGGCGAATCGTCACGATGGGACCATACTTGGACCAGAGATCCCGGATGGGGGGCTCGAAGTCGGCGGCGAAGCGGGTAAGCCATATGAGATTGCCGACGAAGGGGACAGCCGGCGGGCCTGGTGGCAGCCCTCGGTGAGGCCGCCGAAGAAAAAGTGCGGACAGGACCAGGCAGAGGAAGAGGGTGAGGAAGCAAGCACCCCAGGTCTCCATATCCGCTGCTCTTCGTAGAAACTCCGAAGAGTCTGAGGGGCCTTTTATAGTTTAAGGATGAGGAGGCCACGTAAAAGAACCATGGTGCGATATATTTTCCAGTCGCTGCTCTCAGCAATTACGGTCACCAACCGCAATACGGGTCTTCCAAGAATTCTTGGTGATACGGGTTCCACAAAGCCTGAACTCCAACAACTGTAAATAGGTCATATGTTCCATTTTTGTCGTCTCACTATGTGGTCAAAAGTATAGCAACATAATCCTAGTTTGTACAATTATGTCAACATGTTCCAAGACTAAATTTTTTTCCAACAAGCATCCAAATACTTTTACGAAAAAGTCATTGCTATCAACCAGAAAAATTACAACCCATTTCTGTCAACCAGGAAAAGTCATTACTATTGAAACGGGCTATCTATGGACTCAAATAGAGCCCTTATACATGGTTCATCAGGTTTAGTCAAATCACTGACTATTCAAAGGTTCATGACATGTACAGTGGACCCTATTGTCTTTTGCAAACAGCATGCTGGGAGTATCATTCTAACAATTTATGTTGATGACATCCTTCTTACAAATAATGACATGACTAGCATTGCACAAACTAAAGCTCACCTACATGAACATTTCATCACATGGGACATGGGCAAATCTTGCTACTTCCTAGCGATTGAGTTTGCTATCAGCATGGACGAATGGTTTTGTTCGAATGCATGTACTGGATTTATTGGAGGATGTAAGTCTCCTAAGCGTAAGGTTGAGTTATCACCAATTGACTCAACCTAATTGTTAGGACCACCTTTCCTCTCCATGAGGTTGTCACTTGGTATCAACATCTAATCAGGAAATTAATTTACCTCACAATCACTCATCCTAACATTGGTTAAACCATGGGACTTCTCAACTATTTTATACATGAGCCACGACAAGCACACTAACTAGGAGCACTGAGAGTGTTAGTATATCTCAAACATGCTCCAAAACAAGGCTTATATATGTGCAACATAGACATCTCTAAGTTGAAGCTTACTCATATTCAAATTATACAGATAACAAGGGTGATCGAATATCTATATCAGGATATTACAAATACTTTGGGGAGAACCTTGTCACGTAGTCTAGCAAGAAACAAAGCATGGTCTCTCGGTCTAGTGCTGAAGTTGAATATAAGCCCATGATAGATATAACATGTGAAATGATGTTGATACACTCACTTCTTCAAGAGTTAGTTTTTCCACCACACACTCTTATACTTATGTATTGTGACAACTAAGTGGAAATCTTCATTGCAAGTAATTAAATCTTTCATGAGCGTACAAAACACATTAAGGTATATTGTCACTATGTCTATAACAAAGTCCTTAAACGACTCCTAACAAAATCACATGTCGTATCCTTAGAGTAACCAGTAGATATCTTCACAAAGAGTGAGTGGGATATCCTATCATACTCCCTGTAGCAAGTGAAGAATGTTTGGCATCTACTCCCCAACTTGAGGGGAAGTATGAGTGGGTCCTATGAGCCCTATAGGCCTAATGGGCCTAATTGTATCTCTCTCTCTCTCTCTCTCTCTCTCTCTCTCTCTCTCTCTCTCTCTCTCTCTCTCTCTCTCTCTCTCTCTCTCTCTCTCTCTCTCTCTCTCTCTCAGATGGGTTGTCTCTATATATATATACTTTAGAGGTCTCATCCATGACCCATACCCTATATCGTAGGACAACAATTATAAAGAATTAAAAAGCTATAAAAAGAAGTGATTATATGACTCTTCCCTAGGTAAACCATGAAGGATAGGTAAAATACCTAATAATGCATTATTAGTTTTAAAATTGATTCCATTGTTAATGTGGGCATTCACTCTTGTAATAGGATGGTTCTCAAAGGGGATAGAATAATCTCTCATGGATCTTCTCACCATCTGATTAGGAAATTGATCCACTTGGGCAGGCTATTGAAAATTCTTGTTAACAGAATTAATAGAAGATGAATGGTTATCCCTAAGAGTTTAAGTAATATCCTCAAAAGATGAGTCCAAATTTACCAATCTAGGGTTTTGAGACCATGTGGCAACTATCAAATATCATAAAAATATTAGGAAATTAGACTTCATGCAAATCTATAGATCGCAAGTGTCACTAGATTTTTAAATGTCTCTCTTCTTTTTCTTTCCACAATAAAATCTAATTTTCTCAGTTTAATTATATAGAAAATGCCTTTTTCAGTCCAAAATGTTTTGAAAATTGATCCAATGTCAGAAAATTCTGAAAATATTATATGAAATCCAAAAACACATGAAAAAACACTAAAAAAAATTGCAAATTTTTAGAAAAATGTCAAATTGAAAAATAATCTAGTATCCTTCAAATTAAGAAATAATAAGAAATGACACTTGATTATCAATATGAAGCTTGACTTCTCTTTTCTTCTTCTAGCACCTACTTGAATGTCCTAAAAATCTAGCTTAAGAAAAACTCAAAAACACTCACCATAGTCAGAAATCACACAATCAAAATACTTTCTCCCCAGCAATAGTACTATTTGATAACTCTAAACTTAGGATGTAGTAAGCCATAAGTGGGGTTATCTAAAACTATCTATATTTCCACTATCTTAATTAATCTAATGAGTAAAGAGGGTAAGATAGGGGTTGAACATGACAAACTAAATTTAGAGGTTAGATATGTTGTCGTGATGCAATCAAGTTCATACAAATAATAATTTATAAAGCCTTACTCTTCTGTTTAAGATAAGTTAGGGTCAATCCTCAAGGAGTATAGGTAATGAGAGTAAGAATTTTACTTATTTTATTTCTTATGTATATATAAAATAGGTAAAAATAGGTCGGCCCACATATGAAACTGGGCCGGGCCCAAACTCTAAATGATAGTCAGCCTCTTAAATGAGATGTCAACCAGTAATGGGAATTCCAATTTTTCTAAGATGATAAAATAATAATATAAATATTAATTCATTGATTCAAGAAAAGTATACGAATCCGCAAGAAATATAAACGTGACAGGTCCTCTCTCTCTCTCTCTCTCTCTCTCTCTCTCATACTCTCAGCTACAGAGAGCTCCGGGCTCCATAACGGGCCCAGTACGAAACTTTTTATGGGCTTTAAACCAGACTCTATATAAGAGGCTCAAGTTTAAATTGTAACATGAAAACACGTCCACTTGAACACCAAAACCTTCAGCCTTGGGCTTCAAACATTCTGCTGCCGTTGTTCCCGTAGGTGGCCCAATGTTCCCTATGTTCACCCGAGTTTCCATGATCTAGAGAAATTAAAATCAGACTGACCAAGTCTGCATCTGATTTCCACTCTGGGTCAATCAGGATTGGTCTAAATTATTCAAAAGTGGGTAAGTGAGGGTTTTTTAAAAAATAAATATGGTAAATGATCCACGTAAAAATCATTCATAATGCTGCCCTGGTTTTAATGTTTTCAGTTACCTCTAGAAACATAAAACAGTGTGCCATTTATTATACAGTCATAGTTTCAGCATATTGATTTATATATTCATATTCCTTTTATAAATCAATATGCTGAAATTAAAAATTATCTTCCTTTTCTGCGTTTGAAATATGTGGGTCTGCTTTCAATCTGATCCTGCAGAGGTTCAGAGATGTTTGTCTCACAGTGAGGTTGGGTTATGATAATTCAGAGCATTCGAGGTAAAGGTTATGTACCTGCACTTTCTTGTTATGATCCATTCGGGGATTTTTATTGAAACTTTAATGTCCTGGTTGTAATGTAGCCAAATTTAGTGAAAATGGAAAAATGGAGGACCATCCAACCTTGTGTGGTCTGTAATGGTAGCTGAAGAGTCAATGGCCACGAATGGCGTTGAAGAGGTCTCCCCCTTCCTCCCCCTCTCCCTCTCTCTCCCTCCCTTCCCCCCACTCTCTGACACAGATGAATTATTATATTCCCTCATAATCTTCATGGTTATCATGGATTATTTCCTCTTGGTACAACAAATTGTGTTCATCTAGCAATGCTTCCAGAGGGGGAATGGCCAAAACGGTGAGCTGCTAATTTTAGCTTCTTACTTAGTGTCATCCAATTTATTCTCAATCTACTCTCATCTTGAACCATCACACACACTCACTCGCACATTCATATATGTTTCTAATATTAGCATCCTACTGGGTCATCATCTGATTTATTAAACATGATTTTTCACCTCAACCATGTGCACACTCACATATATTAGTTATTTTACGTTCCTACTTAGGCATCCAATTTATTTGACATGCTCTTTCATCTTAAACAATGTGCAAAAAAAAAATTCCTGCCTGGTCATCCATATATGTTTTTATATGCCTAGCAATATTTCGGGAATTTTAACCTTCCACTGGGTGATCCAATTTACGAACACTCATCTGTAACCATATATTCATATGAACATTGCTGATTTTATCTTCCAATTTATTTTCAATAATTGATCGCAGGTGCACGACGTGTGGTGGAAGTGGCCTCGGATATTGTAGCCGCTGCCTTATCACGAGGTTCCACTTCATTAAGGTTCTCTCTAACTCACCGAGTGCCTAACGTAATTTCAGAGCATAATATTTTCAACCATGAGATTATTCCAACGATACTCCTATATTTTGGGTTGTTTAAGATTACATCACCCATAACACCTCTCTCTCTCTCTCTCTCTCTCTCTCTCTCTCTCTGAAACGGTTGCGGGGCTGTCTTCCCTCGTCATCTGGAGCGCCAACTTCTAGCGAAACTAATGAGTCAACGGGAATGCTATCATGAACTGGCTATGACTAAATGTCACAGGGTCAACTCCTGCCAGTTGGGCCTGTATCCGGTTCTGCGCATATAGTTTCCAATCCTGGAACTAACCGGGCTAGAGCTGTCCCGCAGAGAGAGACAGACAGAGACAGAGACACAGAGGGAACGGGATGTTGGTGGTTGGTGATATTTATGAAAAATAAACCGAGGAAGAAGACCTAGAATAAAATGCAGGGTGTTATTGGCGCGGATGCGGCAATGTTTTTTCTCTCACTGGAGTTCTCGCTGGTAGCGACGGAGGAGGAGGTCGCTTAGGACCTCGTAGGCCCGTTCGGTGGGATGGAAGCTGTCCCAGAAGACGTACTTTGAGTCGTCCCCGCAGGTGATCGGGGTAAGAGGGTTGCACAGCAGAGTGACCTCGATCGTCCCAGTCCCGCAGCACCCCTTAGTCGACTCCACAAACCCTGCAATCTCGGGGTCAGAGAGAGAGAGAGAGTACAACGCAATCCCTAATCAGGTTGTGAGAGGGAGGAGTTACCGTAGCTGGAGGGTCGTTCGATCATATCAAGCAAGGAAGTATAGATGTCGAGGATGACGACTTTCCGGCCAGGATACTTCTCTGAGAGACTGCGCATCACCTCGGCCATCTTGGAGTTGAACAGCATCGCGGCCTGGTTCCGTATTGGATCGCAGGCCCTCGCGATCCCCCCTCCTAGGGTCCTCTGAGACGGAAGGCACCCTAGCGGAGGGAGGCTCACGAAACCGATCCGCCGCGCCCCCAGGTTTATCAACTCCTGAACTCGGCCGCAACAAGGAGTTCAATTCAAGGTTGGTTTTATCTCAGGTTTGAGAAGAGTCGAGGAGGGATCCGTGCTGTTCTAACCTCGACGAAGGCAGAGGCATAGCTCGCGATCATGTTTACGTAGGAAGGGATATCGAAGAGGGATCGCCGGAAGGGGGTCGAGAAGTAGGTGTTGGCGATATCATCGTTCCCAGCGGCGATGGCGTAGATGGCTTCCGCGAGGATGGCGTCGCCCTTCTCCGCTCCAGCGATGTCCCTCACCTGGCTCGCGTACTTCTTGAACAGCTCCAGCTGGTCCGGCATGGACAGGACCGACTGCGAAAAGAGAGAGTAAGAGAGAAAGTGATAGAGAGAGAGGAGCGGGATGAAGGATAGAAACGTTGGTCGGCTAGTAGGGAGAAGGCCTCGCACGTACCACCAGTTTGGAAGTGAGGGGATCAAAGCCGGTCCCGCCGGAGGCGAAGCTGACGCCGGTGAGGATGTCTTCTGGAGTGAGATCGCTGCCCAAGTAGGGTGGCAAGTACTCCTTGATGCCCATCTTGGCAGCTGCCGGTGTGCTAGGGTTAGCGATTCCTTGGTTAATGAAGAAAGAAAGAAAGGGAGGAAAGAAAAAGGCAGGCATATACATATGTACGGGTGTAAATGGCAGACAAATAAATGACGTTTTTCGCTTATAATTATTGGACAAGAAATGGAATTTCTTGAGTAATATCGCATCTCAAAAACCATTTTAGGGAGAGAGAGAGAGAGAGAGGAGCCTAACTTCAGCTTTAAGCTAAGGTATGCAGTACAAGTTGGACTTTTAACAGCAGTCCATATTACGTGAAGAACATGATTTTCAGGGGTATAAGATACCTAGGAAATCCGTGGGTATCTTCCCATTGCAAAACCTTCCAGTAGGCGTACTCCCGACGAAGTCCTGGCCGTATGGAGGAAAGTTGCACTTGACGACAGTCGTCAGCACATTGTTATTCCCAGGATCCACTATCGAATCCCCGAAAGCTATGAGCGCCGGCGCCAGAGGGGTGGAAGTCCGGTTCTCCAGCGAGCTCACGGTGAGAAAGAGCCGAGCCATGAAGATGACAGACAATGCAGCCGTCGCCCCGGAGTACCTCTCCATTGGTTCTCTCTCTCTCTCTCTCTCTCTCTCTCTCTCTCTCTCTCTCTCTCTCTCTCACTGTATCGTTCTTGATAAGCTGATCACTCCTCTTCTCTTTATACTGGAGGCGACCAGAGCATCTAACATGGAGGCCATTTATATGGAAGTAGGAAGGTGAATGTGTGAACAAAAGGGCTGGTAGGTTTGATTAGGTTTCGGTGGGATGTTGTGCAGGGCAAAGAAACCCACACAGCGCTAGGGAAAGCTGGCGTTGGCTTCTCACGACGATGAAGTTGCTAGCGCTTCTCTCGCGTTTTAGGGCGTTATTCCCCTCCACGAAGAAGTCAACTGACAGCTCGCAGGCTGTTCATTGGAGCAACATGCATATGGGAAGTGGTCAACGGGTCAGGCTGTCGTCGCCCGGTCTGGCCCAGCAAGGATAATGGCATATGGAGGCCATCTCCTCTTAGTTAGCGTACCAAACAAATAGGGTTTCACGTTATCGACACTATAAACCCTCGCTAACTACCAACCTGAGATTTCTTCGGAAAATTGAACTCTTTTTAATAGAAAAAAACTTGGACAAAGAGATAGACAAGTCGAGGGCCTTTTAGGAATCTGTCATCCGTTGACTAAAATCATTCGACCCATAATTCGGATTTTGAGTTATCATCACAACCTGAAATACGTGGAGGAGGGGGGCCACCGTCAGGTCGCGGGGGGCTCTGCCATCTCTGATCCTCTCTTAAGGGATTGGTTAATGAATTTCCGAAGAACGGCCTAACGAAGCCCATTTATTATCGATATGATTTGGGTAAATAAAACCAATGCATATCGGCCGATATGTGGAAATTTCTCTCAAGGGACAACGATAATCGCCGGCGACTGCTTGCTTACCACGTGTGCCATTAATCTCAGCTTCAGCCGTGAATGTGGGAGTTGGTATGGAAGATTTAAGATCAAGTCGTCAGGTCGCTACAGCTTGAAAAGCCGGCTCTACCTCGCCGGTGACGTGTGATTAGCCTACCCACTTGACTTTCCGCGACTGATTTGACGGCTTCATTTATTCTAGGTATCATAACAGACTAGCCAGAATCTTCTGGACATCTCACTAGCATGCAGGTATACGATATTAAGTATGTTTGAACCCCCCCCCTTCTCTCTCTCTCTCTCTCTCTCTCTCTTCTCTCGCTGTGCAACTTCTTGAGATATGATCCTGAGATATTAATAAAGAAATTACCTGAATTGTTAGACAATGGTGTGTGACAATATGTCAGATAGTTTGTGTAACACACATAATAAGCAGATAACCTTCCCTGACATTAATGTTTCATTTCCCTTGATCCAGTTTTACAGATATATATATATATATATATGTCTAAAGAACTCGTCTTTGATCATCTTCCCCATTGCGATAAAAGAGGTTAAAAGGGTTATCAAATTTCCTGCGAATAGCTTTGACTTTCGCTTTAAAAATGCCGACGTTTCTTTTTAAAAATTCTTGAGGGAAAATGTCGACATAGTTGTAGTCTACAACTAAAAAATGGAATTATTTTAATACCCTTCTTAAGAATGTGCGCCGGAGATCAGGCTTTGGACAATCCCAATCATTAACAAGATAAGGAAGACCATCACGTGAACAGCTCAAGATCCGCTGATCCTGTCCAAACATTCATTCGATTTAATGTGCTCTCTCATCTCTAGACTGGCCAAAGTGAAGTCTTTATGCCCAGTGTCCTATCGTTCACGGGAATTATGCAGATGGCCCCCCACTGGTCAAGAAACTCAGTAACTGCGAGTTCTTGAGTAGGTCGGTCAACGGTGGTCCCCTTTTCTTAGGGCTTCTTCATTCTTTATATTAGAATCGGAGTCAAGTTGGGGAAGACAACCGGTCGTTATGGGCTTTTGACTGGTTCCAGTCTAGAAGAAGCTTGGAGTACCGTCGGTGACGGGGATCACAAAGAAGGCTTTCCTTGGATCAATAGATTCCGACAATTGTCAACGCTTGACAAGGGCGATCAATGGCCAAGAACCTGCCTTAGGGTTACATCCTTCCTGATTTTAGCCCCAGAATCTTTAAAAAGAAAAACTGTCGCAGATGATCAATACTTGAGAGAGAGAGAACTCAGATCACCGACAGTTCTTCTCGCTGCCATTGAACTTGGAGCAGGATGTTTTGGCATCATATTCGCGCAGCCATTGGAATTTCATGAAGTTATAGCGATCATAAGATAAGAATGGGTGTCCGGAAGAAAACCATTTGATTCGATTAGCAGACGAAATCTACAATAAAAGTAATCCATCGACGGATAGTACAGACGGAATCAATAGACGATCCACATCGGCATCTCCACAAAACTAGGCGGTACCTCACCAGTAGTCCCCGCAGGAGCAGGACCCGCGCCGGAAGTGATGGAACCGGGCCCGGTCCCTGACGATCACCGTCCGGCCGAAAGCTTCCGACGCCAGCTTCATCACCGAATGGCAGTCCTCGCAGATCCTGAGGTTCTTGATGATGCGGACCGTCGTCCCCGGCCTGGTTTTGAGCAGTCCGAAGGCCAGCGCCAGCTTCTCGCTGTGCTGGGCGAGGCACTGCTCCTTGTCCTCCTCGTCCATGTCGAAGGAGACGGCACCAGCCACATGCCTCGGCTCTTGTGCGCTCCTGAGCCTGGAGATTTCATCCAGCATCGCGTAGATTTGATTCATCTCGGGGTGGGAAGGATCCCCGGAGGTGAACTCGTGGACGATCCCTCCCACTTCGACGGAGCTCGACCCGGGGGGCTTCTGAATCCTCCTCTCCTTCATCGTCTCCCTCGTTTCCTCGACCTTGTCCCATCTGCCAACGGAGGCGTACGCATTCGATAAGAACACTAGTGCTCCGGCGTTCTGGGGGTCCAACTGGAGCATCTCCTTGGCCGCCATCTCCCCCATCTCGAGGTTCCTGTGAGCTCGGCAGGCGATCAGGAGGGCCCCCCAGAGGACCACGTCCAGGTCCATAGGGATCCCCTTGATCAGCTCCAGCGCCTTCTCTAGCCTCCCCGCCCGGCCCAGGAGGTCGACGGCGCAGCCGTAGTGCTCGATCGTCGGCGAGACGCCATGAATGGTCTTCATCTCCTCCAGAATCCGCAGCCCCTCTCGGACCAGTCCTGCGTGACTGCACGCAGAGAGGACCCCGGTGAAGGTCACCGAGTCTGGGGTGACTCCCATCGTCTTCATCTCCGTGAAGAGGAGGAGAGCTTCTCTTGCGTGCCCGTGAATGGCAAGGCCACCGATCATCACGCTCCAGGTCCGCACGTCCTTGTGAGGCATTTCGTCGAACATAGAGAAGGCAGCTTCGATTTCCCCGCACTTGGCGTACATGTTGATCAGAGCGGTGCCTAGATTGACAGTCAGCCTCATCTGGTTCTTCCCGATGTAGGAATGGATCCACCTCCCCAGGTCCAAGGCCCCGAGATGGGCACACGCCGATACCACGCTAAGCGTGGTTATCTCGTCCCCTCTGATACGATCAGAGTCGTCTTGCATCCTCCTGAAAACCTGTACAGCTTCAGAGAACCTGCAGGATTGTGCATACCCTCTGATGAGCGCGTTCCACAGAGCGACGTCTCTCCTCCGGCATCTGTCGAAGAGATGGCGGGCGGTGTCTATCGAGCCAGAATTTGCATAGAAATTGACAAGCGCCGTCTGTATGTAGGGGTCGAAGTCCTCAAAACCACGTCGGAGCAGCGTGCCGTGGACGGCCAGCCCGAGCCCTGGTGTTGCTGCTGCGTCCACGAGGTTGGCGCAAGCAGTGAGGACGAAGGGGAAGGTGTAGTTGTTCGGGGAGTAGCCCTCGGCCAGCATCTTGTTGTAGAGGGCGACGGCGTCCGCCGGGGAGGACCCGTGGGCGAGACCCCTGATCATGGAGTTCCATATGAAGGTGTTGAGGGGGGGTTTGATGGAGGAGAAGATGGCGCGGGCGTAGCCGAGGTTGGACGGGCCGAAGGCGACGACGTCGGCCAGCAGCTTGCCCGCCGTTAGGGTGTCGCCTACGCCGCCATCTCGGATCAATCTCGCGTGGGTCTGTTTCAGCTTCTTCATGCAAAGAGGAGGAAGAGGATGAGGAGGCGACGAAGCTGAGGGAGGGAGGGAAGAGTAGGGATTCGAATTCAGGCGCGAGGTGCTTCTCAGTAGGCGTATTCTCATCTCCTGGCACCGTCAAAGCCAAGTCTTCCTTCATTGTTGTAGTATGAATTGAAAAACGAGAGGAAATATGCCCAGATTTGAGAGAGAAAATGGGCTGGAATAGAGACCGAGGAGGAGCTCCTCGATCAGAAAAAAGGACTAAAAAATAAATGTTCCCTTCTGGTTTAAACAAAGTAGAGTAGTGTATTTATATGGGGGAGAAGGGAATGCAGTGGCCATGCCCACTTAAACCACATTATGACAAGTGTGACTCAATGGGATTCCACATGCCTAACTCATACCCTAGGTCGTAGAATTGTCAACTGTTAGTGCAATATTATTATCAACGCTCCCTATTGATGCAAAATACCAAGTAATTTTTGAAACTTAAGATGATTCACGGTTTTTGTAAAACCACATGTAACTTGATCGTTTGTTGAATAAAACTTCATCTCAGTTGAATCACTAGCAACTTAATCTCAAATAAAGTTATGATGATTTTCAATAAAATTTGTTCTTCTATGGAATACAAGGTTTTTTGTCATAGAGTTGACTTGTTATCTCAATAAATTCATATTAGATTTCTTTGGAACATATGTCATAATTCTTATTTAATGTATTTTGTACATAGTGATATAGCAACATATCCAACTCCAAATGATGCAAAAAAAAAAAAATCTTCAAAGTCTAAGATATGACACATCATCCAAAATTGACAATAAACTTATTGATGCTTTTTCTTTCATCTAACGATCAAGTGTAATAATTGGCAATAAAATTATCTAATTGACATTGAAGTATTTGTTTATGTAAATTTCAATAATTGTTGTCCCTCAAATATAGCAAAGAATCAACTTTGTTATTCCAAGATGATGAAACAAAGGATAATACATAAACAATAAAATCATATTAATATAACACATAATATCATGCCAATCTAAGTCAAATATATTAAATTGCCAACCAGACTTTTACAAAGCCATTCATCTGCTATTGTAATTCCATCACCAATACATAATTTTTCATTAGTATTCATTAAAGTGTAACAAACTTAATAACTTGGTATATTAAAAACTAGAGTAAATTTTAATCATCTAATAAAATAAATATATCATAAGCATTTTGAATAATTCAAAGTTTGATAAAATAATAAAACCTAGATATATCATATCAAATTCATCTATCAATAACAAAGATGATGTGTTATATATAATATCATCCACATGTACACACATTATGAGAATATCTTCCTCTTTTATCTTTATGTAAATAATTAACTCATTCTTGATTCTATAAAAAAAATTCTAATGAAAATATTAGTCAAGTTTATTATAACATGCTCTTAATACTCCATTGGATCTATGAAGTAAATCTTTAATTTGTATATTTAAAAAAATTAAAATCAATCAAAAAAAAAAAGTTACCATCACCATAGAACATTAATATGTAAATTTTTTACCACATTAACAAACAAAATTGCACCAACTTTGCGTAGTATTTACACATACTTGCATATGGCTTATACTTTAGTTTGTAAACTCATTATGCATCAACAACATCATTCTTTAATGATGTTATTGATGCCATTTTTTTCAATTGAATCAATTTACTCTTTCATCTTCTATCGTTCATTTTTGTCTTGAAACTGTCTCATAATTTTTTGGTTGTAAAACCATAAGAGCAAAAATTTATGTTTAATGTATTTTAGTTAAAGATCTTACCTTTCCTAGAAAATGCTTAGAATTGAGACGAGAATAATTATGGTTGTCAAAACTATTTCAATAACTTAGAGATCATCTCACAAAGAACCTGATGACAAAGAAACTTCAAGCATCATACATTGTCCCAATTGCATTGACCTTCATACATTTTCATAGGGATATACTTGTCTAATTACATAATTGTTATAAATTTAACAAGATTTTATAATTTCATAGTTTCATGATTATATAAATGATAACTCTTAATAAAGTCATCAAAACTAAAAAAGATTTTTATAATCTTTTTATCATGATCATCAAAACAAAATACTTTCAAATAATGGACAATTAATTTTTGATTATACCATGTTTCAAAAAGAATTTATATTCATCATTGTCTTAGTTGTAAGAATATTAAGAAAATAAAACATTGCTTTTTTTACCTCATTGTCTTAGTTGTAAAAATATTAAGAAAATAAAACATTCTCGTTAGTACTTCAACTCAAAAATCATTTGAATGATACTTCCAAGTATCATTTCATACTAATTTTCTATAGAGTTTTTATGACTATCAATTGTTTGTGAATTTTATATTACTTACAAAAAGAATCAAATGAATGAAATAAAAATTCTTCTACTGTATCTATTTAGAAGGTATTTAGATCATATCTACTAAGATTTCTATGAAACTTTTAAACTCTACAAACATGTCAAATACCTCATGTTTCTTAATCCAGTTATATATCCAACTTGTATGAGTAAAGTTATCAATATCCAATAGAAAATTACTATTTTTTTAATGATAAAATATTTATTAGACCACAAATATCACCATGTAATTCAAGAGGCAATTTCGCTCTCTAGGTTATACCAATTAAAAATGACAAGCAACATTGTTTTCTATACACACCATTCACAAGTTTTAGTAGTAAAAATAGAATTCAAGGCATAAATCACATTCTTTTGATTCAACAACTTTAACATGTTAAAGTTCAGGTGATCATAATGTGTAATGGTAAAGTCAAGATTCATCATAACTTTTAAAACTATGAAAATTTTAGTTACTATTGAAATTTCTAGAAGAAAATTATTTTCATCTCATTTTGAAATGAAATATATAAACTAATTCTATCAATTGACATAAATTCAATAGATTGTGTGTCAATTAGAAACAAAATGTACATCATGTATGAAATTTCTTCTTGATTTTGTTTTAACAATAATAGTTCCAATATTTTCAAATTGAACATAATATTATTTCTCACTTAAACTTGTCATTTATTTGATGTCTCAAGGCTTTCAAATAAATCATATTTACTTCTCATATGATTATTTTAAGTATTATCTAGAAATCATATATTATATTTTACTTAATTTATCTAGAAATAATATATTATTTTATATTATCTAGAAATCGTATGATTATTTTTATTCATTTTAATTATGACAATAATTTGTTTCAAGAGCTCATAATTTTTACAAAAAGTATATTGTTTTATCATCTGATGATTCCCTTATATAACATTTGCTTACTTTTTTGCCTTCTTTTAACACTAGGCTTCAATATATTCATATTTCTTATAAAATCAATATTGTATTATTTTATAATTTGATTTTTGATTCTTACTATCTGATGTGTACTTGTCATTATGTTTAAATATATATTATCTAATAACATTTATAACTAACACAATAAATTATTAGTATAGATATAAGTCTCAAGTCGAATATGAGGAGATTGATTAATTTGCCATGAAAAATAATTTAATTTATATTAGATTATTTTTAATATTTTATTAATATTTATCGATAATAATAAAATAGAAGGGTGAGGTGAAAAGAATAAAGAAAGAGGAGCAAATAAAGGAAGGAGGAAAAGAGAGAGAGAAGAGAGAGCTCTCGCAAAAGAGAGAAGAAAAAAGATGGAGAGAAATCTCACATGAGATGAAGAGAGAGAAAAGTCTCACAAGAGAGAGAGGGAGAGAGAAGGAGAGAGAGGGAGATCGATCGATAGAGAGAGAGAGAGAGAGAGAGATGGAGAGAGAAGAAGAGGTCTTACAAAATAGAGAGATAAGTAAAATGATAATAAAGAAATAGAGAAATATGGCCTATTTTCACAGTAACTATTATTCTCGAATGAATGTGTGCTCAAGAATTTACGCACATGACATGAGGTCAGTGACGTGACTTAGTTGTTGTATAGTAAATTATGTAAATTTAAAATTTATAAAATAAAAAATATGAATTTTTAGATATTTAGAAGTATTTATGAACAAATATATCAATTATAATTCAATAAAACTTTTAAAAATAGTAGTAATTTTTTAGGTCAATCATAGGAATTTAATATAATATCTAGTAATTAGTTAAAATTTTTCTCAAAGAATACTATTTTCTATTAATTTTATATTAGGAAATGAAAAGAAAATATATTTAAAATTCATGAAAAAGGGAAGTAAGGGTGCAGACATCAGGATGATGTCAACACCTAGCGAACGCGAATCAGACAAAAATAGAGTTTCGCCCGACGATTCTTACATAAGTGATTACAAATGATTTAATTGATCAAATTAAGATCTATAAAAGTCAAAAGAATTATAATTGAATAAAGTATATTTTAATAAATTAAAATCATATAAATTATCACTAAACGAAATAGAAATTAAGTTGAAAGTAGAAAAACAAAGTTCCAGCATCACGACGGCGATGCATCAATGATGCACCAAAATCTTGAGCATTCATTCGAGAGGATAATCGTGTAGTGTCCACAGCCTCAAAGGTTTTCCTTAGACAAGGACGATGTGGGTAATCTCTAGATCTCCTTGTGAAGTCTAGAGATCAATGAAATGGGTTGTCAAATTGTCTCCGGCAACTGTCACTCGGCGAAGCAGAAAAATGACGACTTTGTGGCTCTCCAACAGCTATCACCTAATGTAGAGGAGCTAGATGAAGGTGGGGCACGTGTCAAAGAACTTCATCCTTAGGTCCGCACAACAAGAGGAGTCTCTTCATCACATCTGGTATGCTCTCAAGAGATGGTAACTCATTTCCTAGTGGATCGTCCTCTTCCCGACGACAACTTGTTCGTTGATCAATCGGAAATGCTTTACTCGATGGATTCACGATCCTTTTATCGCAAATCATTCAGCAATCTTAGTAACAATTTGTGAATCGTATTGATGAGATTTTCACCGATGATCTAATGATTTTGATTGCTTAATCTTTTACCGGTGATATGTAAGAAAGTTGTGATAATCAGATAAAAAATATGAATTTTGACTCTAAGAGGATTCAAACCCGCACTAGTTGCCTGCCCTTTTT